AGCCGGTCCGAGAATTTTAAATCCAGCGTGGCCAGAAGAGAGAAATGGCAAATGCTCGTGAGGCGACTTACATACTATGTTCTTAAAATGTCTTTTCATGATGACCACGATCGCTCTGTAAAGAGTTTAACGACGAAGAAGAATAATACGTTGTGACGGGTGTCATAATTTAACACATTTATGAGTCATATATCTTTATATATAAAAATTGCGTGTCACATTGTTTGTCCACGATGAAATCCGAAACGACTCAATAGATTTTAATGAAATTTTGTAAATATGTACGCTTATTCCAACTTGAGAGATAGTTTTTAATAAAAACTTTTTATCCTTATAATATGTCAACCTCAATATTTTATTGCGATTTAAAGGTTTTCTAAAAGACAAAGGTTTGTCGGAAAGGGCAGAACAAAGTCTACCTGGCCAGCTAGTAGATAAATAAAACATAATATGTATATCACCATAGATAAAGATAAATAAAATAGAATTCTGGGGTTTTGCAGTTTCTATATGTTGTTCTGTTGAATATTTGCTTACTCGACGAAAAATAAATTACTAATTTAACTTAAGGATAGACTTAAACCGAAATATCCATCCTGAAAACATTAAACCAATGTTATTGCAAAGAACGGAATAGTAATAATAGAAATTTGTATTTCCTAATATCAAAACAACTGAGATCAAGCATGCAAAATACAATCAAATGTGGTGTTGTTGGAATACATGAATCTCTTCAATACCTCCCAATATTTTTCTTTGCACTCAAAATTACATAAAAATGATATGCAATTCATCCTCTTCATACAAAGACATGAAAGGTGAGAATCGTGTATCGACTATAGTTGCTGACTGTATGTCAGTTGCATTATATTTTTTTCTTGGTCCGGTACAGAGCACGGGTCGTGGTGAACTGATCAGATTAGACTCTGTAACCGGTTCTCAAAAGCATCCCGAGGAAAAGAAATAAGAAAAAACGACACTAATAACAACAAATAACGAGGCGTTCGACCGTGGATATTAAGGGATGTACAACCGTCGATTAATGTCGATCAATTGATATTTGTTTGGAATAAGCGTCGGAATTAAATAATAATTTTACAATTGTATTATTATTACAAGTTAAATTTCCATTATGACTCATATTCTCTTCCGGTATTCTATTTCCCCAAATCCTCGAAAACTAAATTGTACAAATTTATCGCTGCTAGTTGAAAGCTTAGTTAAAGGTCAATTAGCGAATTATGATATATAATGTTCAAATGCAAATTGTATATTACATGTCACATTCCAAACTTATGGATGGTGGTGGTACATTAGTATTTAGTAATACATAATCAGAATATTACACCGACACAGCGCCGCAACTGATCACTAGAGCTAAGGTTATAAGTTCGGCCCTATATTTCAACGAGACTAACAACTGACATGAAAGAAAGTTGCTTATTAAATAGAGAGAAGACCTTATACACTAAAATCATATCAAGTTAAAAGTCACAGCCTATGTACGCACAGGCCTCTTCTTATTTCTGAGAGGGTAATCTTGAACGACTACTACTGAACACTATAAGCATAATCATGTAAATAAAGTTGATAATAATAAAATTTTAAAATATTACCCATTAAGATATTTTTAAATAATTTACTTTCGGAAGATATCAACACTTTATCGATACCCAATTCTATACTATCACGTCACTATCAGAGGTGGAGCCAGATGAAATTATACGAAAATATTGTAACGATAGTGACAGATGATTATAAGCTGGCGATAAAACACACATAATTCTCACATAATGGCTGCAAGAGGCGAGCCCTGGCATTAAGTCCCGGTGATAATTCCCACCTTGTCGTAGTTCCACGGAAATCAATTTTACAGCACTACACTGAACGATTTATGTACACGATACAGATTGTAGTTCAATGGGGCGAGAAAGTCATTGATTACACTTTGATCGAGTCCTTTTTATTTACAGTGTAGGCTATTCAAAATATTTTAATTTCATCCTAGTAATTTTATTACGCAGGCCAGTGCTATGAATATAAGCAATATCCAACTTAGCCATCGCTAATTTACTTTATTACACTGAAACGATTTTCGATGTTAGATGCATACTATGTTTATGATCATTTATTACCGTTATTATGTTTACTATTACACTTTCCATTGGTTTGAAGAACCTCCGTCTCCAAGTGTAAATAACGTAGTTCTCAACTACATGTAATACTTAACGTGTGGTGCCTTCGTGATTGAATCCATCTTTGAAATTTAGTTAAGTAAGTTAACTACACGAAAAGACAGTAAAAATCTTGTGATATTTAACAAACTAAAAAATAATCATCTTTCGCCAGACCTTAAAATAAATTGTTAGGTATCAGATAATTTGGTCCAGTTCTCCTTTGAAAATTGTCTATGTCGTACAGGGAATGCTTATAGCGAAAATGTACAAAATAAGTTAAAGAACTTTACAATATTTTATTTAAACGGAGCTTTGAATGTCTTGCCTTTGTTTATTTATTAGTAAATGTAAATCTTGCCATCATCGACATTGATCCAATTATAATACAGCTTTATAAACCAGTAATACTCGTATTGCAACTTGCCATTCAATTTGTTATATTTATTACACTGATATTTGTTTAATTGAGTATGAACTTATATCTCTTCGTGTTTTAAACTAGATAAGCGACATTGTAACAAATTGAAAGAGATTATCTCAGCACGACGTCTATGCATGATTTTTACTACAAATATATCGCCTAAACACAGCTTGATGACTGAAAAAATAACTAGAGAACAATACTTACTACTTACTTATCTTTACGCACAATCCCTAACGGGGTAGCCAGAGAGAACAGATCGCCAAGTGTCACGATCCTTACATACCTCTTTCGCCTCTTTCAGGTTCATTAACTTCTTCATACATGCACGTCTAGGTATCCGAGTACTCTTGACCCTCCCCTCTTCGAGCAATTTGCTCACATGGTCTTCGAAAGTTAGTCTCGGTCTACCTCGACACCTTTTAATATTTACTTTCGCTCTATATTTTCTTCACCATTCGGTCTTCACTCATTCGTTCAACGTGCCCAGACCATTGGAGTACGCCCCTATCAATTTTTGTGATAAGGTCATCTTTCAATCCTGCCATATTGCGAATCTCTTCGTTTCGCTTTCGGTCGGCTATGGTAACGCCAGACATTTTACGAAGAGATCGCATCTCCACTGCATTCAACTTGCTTTTATGCTTCTTCTGGCATACCCAGGTTTCGCTGCCATATAACAAAGTCGGTACCAACACTGCGTTATGTATTGCAAGGCGTGCACTCTTCACCACGCCTTGCCTTTTTACTAATGCATTCAGGGCACCATTGACTGTTTCCGGCAGCGACACGCCTATCCACATCTAAATCACATCTTCCATCCCGGCTGAAAGCACTCCCCAAGTATACAATTTAATTTACCTGTTCTAGACATTCCTGATTTACCCATATTTCACATTTCGTTCTCTCTTCGTCCTTTTCAAAGAAGGAACAATAATTATTTTTATAGTTTTATGTGACGTTAATTTCAGGTGAAGAAGTGTTTGACCCCAACCCCAACAGGTAGTAGAACAGTTTGTTTACAGTATACAAAAATACTAATTGCCAAACATTTGCACACTACACGAATGATCAAAAATTTTTGAGCATTCGTGAGATAGTAGGTGTCGTAAGAGGCGGTAGAGGGAAATTAACCTCCTGGCCGCCTATCGGTCTTATGAGACCGCGGCCATATTCCGCCAAATCCCTAGCGGTCTCATGAGGTCGCACCCACCCACAGCACTTCCCATAAATACTTATATATAGAGACTACTTTTCTATGAAGAAGTTTGGCATTATATAACCAATATGAAATACTCTATCCCCTAGTGCAATAAAAAAACTGTTATCATATGAATATTAATTTATAATCTACGTTTATTTCGTACGCCGTTTTCGTGTAAATGTTATTGTGTTGATTTTTGGGTTTTTCTAGTATTTTGTTAGCGTTTTAGTATAGTGTTTTATTATAACATTGTAATGAAAGTTTTTATGTGAATATAATTTATCTTTTTACGTAAATAATTTCGTGTAATATATATTGAAATAATTGTGATTTTCACGCTGGCGACATTCGCTTGGTATGTTTTTTTTTGTTATCAAAATACATTAAAATCTTTTTGTAATGATGTAAAATCTGACTTTTGTTTAGACCACAAGAAGGAGAATTTTGTACAGATTTTATAATGCTAAACTTCTTCATAGAAAAGTAGTCTCTAAATATTAGCTTTAATGGTTTCAAATGCTGTGGGTGGGTGCGGTCGCATGCGACCGCTCGAGATTTGCCGGGCGCATGCGACTGCACGGGATTTTTATGGCGCTTGAAGAGTTAAAACATGTGATGGACGACAGCATCTTCCCGATAACAACTAAAAATAATAAAAAATTGCTGTTGTTCAGCAGTGGACCCTTACAAGTTGTAATGGATGTGATGGAGGCCCACTGTTCATATTATCTCTATATATAAAAATCAATTGTTCGTTAAACCCGCTAAAACTCAAAAACGGCTGGAACGATTTTGATGAAATTTTTATGTGCATTTGCGAAGCCGGGGTGGATAGCTTGTCTTATATTTTCTTGAATTTAAATGTTTCGATAATCGTTATAATGTTAATAGTAACTATTTAGTGCTTTTATATACAGATTTTAAGTTATATTATATAAAAAGTAGATATGGGACACACCTCTTTAAAGCTTAATATTTCAAGAATTAAGTGTCAGATACACGTGTATTGAAATAATATATTTTTATATAATTAAAAGTTACTATGTGGTAGATTAAGTCAAACAGATAGACTTATTATAGTGGTAAAGCACATGTATTAAACATAGCATTGCATAAAGCTCATATAGGTGATATTTTATGATTATAACGAAATCTATAACTACGTGGTAATAAAAACTTGTAAAAGCAATCAACTTACCAAAAACGGGACTTAAATCCGATTTCACAGATAATTTTCCAGAATAAGGTTCACCCGATTTTTCCTGGAACAAAAGACATAGAAATATTAAATAAAATCAAACAGTTTTAGAGAAAAAGAATAAACACAATAAAATAGTTTGTTCCGTGTTATCAAGAACACCAAACTTAGTCAACAAAAACTCTATCGAAGAAGTCGCAATCTCACCGACATTTCAACCAATTCATTCCGCTGCCGTGTTTTTTCCCCGAACAATATCAACTACGATAATGGACATAACAAATCGAGATGTTTCCGCTTTCATTAATGCCAATAACCGAATTTCCTCTATCTACACTGTTACGGAGCCAATGGGCCGTTTGAAATCTCGACACCTTAATGATATATTTGGGGGCTATTCTTACAACTATACGAAATATGTTGCTCGGTAATGTTATTATATTACAGAATTATATTTCATTTATTCATATTCGGTTTTAAAAAATCGTATTATTCGTAGATATCGTTTTCGTTTATAAGGTTCATAAGGTGTTGAAAATACAATCGACTACATTATTAGCTATGATTTTTATTGCATGTTACCTATTTTCATATTCGATAGCCTATATGTGAAAAATGTTTACGACTTTTATGGTAATGTAAAGACTCATTTACTAAATTTTCGCAGTATATTCTTGTTTGTAATAAGGTAATATATATAGGAGTACCCTTAACCGACGAGCATGTATGCGTAGGTATATGGATGTAAAGGAGGAGAGAGGTGTGTCAGGATCGTGCCAAATGGAAGTCTGTAGTCTCTGCCTACCCCTCTGCGTGACAAGCGTGAGTGTTTATGTTTATATATATGTAATATATATCAAAGCATTTGCAATTTTTGCAACAAAATAATGTATGTAAGCTTAGACTCAATCATAGGGGAACTGAATCTACCTTGAAACTTATGGGTACACTATTCCATTAAGAAGCTACAGAAACATATACGTAATCCGTACCAATCCTTCACAAAGCCTGAATTGATCGAGATGAATTTACATTCAATAGAGCAACGGATGCCAAGTCGGAGCTTACATTATAAGGAGAAGGCAATCTTTCATTATTACAAATTAAAAAAAAAATGTTATTTTAGCAATTTTTAATTTAGTTATAATTGTAAAATCGGACACATAATTGATATTAAAATGATAAACGACTTATTAACAAAAACAAACCCATATTGTTCAATTTATCGTAAGAACGTAAAAAATCCAGTTAATGCATTCGACAAACGGGTATTAGTTGAGAATAAGCCCCTTTAAGGAGCTTCTCCTTCAACAAGAGGGTCGTAATTGGATAAGTCCCAATCAGTTTACCCCACTCGGACACTTATACCAAATCAAGGATAACCAGTAACCCCAATATATTAGTGTTTTTACTTGTAACCTTATGAAAGCTGTAGTCGGGAATAGTTTTATAAAATATGTTCGATATTTTATTAAATTCCATCGATATATTATTTATTCTATAGGTATAAGTATACAGTATTACGTATAACCAACACACCAAGCGATTTTACAATCCTAAGATCGAAGTCCTATTAGTTTTGCTTCTCATAATTTTTAATTTGGATTATTTTCAAGCGTATCCATTTCAACAAGGCTAATGCAACGACAATTTGCTCGAAGACGTCCAACTGAACACAGAATTTGATGCGAATATTTGAAAATTTCAACTATATTATTATTCTCATAAAGTCCACATCAAATTACATAGCTAGCTGATATGATCTGATGGTTTTTTTCGGTGTAATTAGAGATAAAAACAAAAGACTTTATGCTACTAAATTTCATACTTACCAAATATGTAAACTTAGAGGCTGTCTTCACAACAGATAAGTAATGACAAATAAAGACGAGATAATAAAATAACATAGCATACTGTAAACCTTTATAGTGGTAATAATGGATCGAACTTGTTAAGAGAACCTGATCGGCAATCATAACTACCTGTAGACGTCTGCAACAATGTTTCAAACTGTAGCAACATCGATACAAGTTTTGGTTTGTTACTCTTGATCATGTCTTGACAAAACCGCAGCAGACAGCTGTGGTTTTTTTGATCAATGAAAATTATCGCAGAACGCGAATTCAGGTATAAACTACATTTCATGATATGCATCGTGTGGTTTGCTGTTATGCTGCGATATAAGGTATACGATACAACACTGATGAATATTATACGGTCCGCGTACTTTTTAAATATGTTCCTTTAATATTGAGTACTGAATATGCTATTAATTGAAACAGAAAAACTACACGACTTTTCAAGTTATAAAATAAGTAAATCATTTCCTTGATTATGGCGCATACGATTTTGTAACTTGTATACAAAAAGACTAAAACAACGGTTAAACATATTCGTAGCACCATTAAAATAACCAACACTAATAGTAAATAGAATCTTAAAAATTTAATATATATTATTGTATTATACTAGTATTAGTTTATATATATCATATATAACTATCGTATTTATTTTTTTGTGTATTGATTTGTTTTATTTATAGTATTTTTAATAGAATTTTCGTAACATTTTGTGTATTATTTACTTATTAGTAGTAGTAATCTACACACTAAGTAATATATTTAATCTCCAATCGTCCAATATATTTTCCTTTATGTGTCTACTGGTACATATTTCAGCAAATTATGGAATAAGTAGAAACTTTGTACGAACTTACTATAAGACTGTTTCTTTATCTTGATGTGTCTAGACAAATAAATTTAAAAAAATAATAATATTGACTTGAAAGACAATAATATGCCATAATATAAATATTCCATCACAAAATTTTTCCGAACTAAATTACTTGTATTTAGTGAGTTTGTTAATCTTCTTAATTACTTAAGATTTTTGCAATAAAATATTAAATTATATGCTTTAGAAAAAATCCAAAATCATGATAATAGTAACGTCCGTAGTTTATAACACATTGGAACTCCGGGCGTCGGCTGTGATTAAATTCCTGCAGTGGGGCAAATTTTTTCGACATGACACCGAGCCGATGCGACGTAACAAAGAGGACAACTATTTAATCGTCTCGTTTCGAAATTAATTTCCGGAATAACTCGCAGCATTTTGTTGTGGACGGAGAGAGAAAGTTTCTGTATTAAGCTCGATTAAATTTCTTTAGAAAATAGATGAGAATTACAATTAGTGAAAAAATGTTCATAATAGATTAAACACTATACTATACGCGATTTAATATCTGATTCAAGTAAGAGGTATAATATTAAGCAGTAGTCTGATTGCATCCGAGTACATAATTATTAAAATGCCTTAATTATACATATAACATTTTAAACAAACTTTGTGATAATCGATAACAAATTAAACAAATAATCCCTGATGGAATGATAATGACAATTATATATGTATATTATTCCTTCAAAAAAGTTTAATTTTCTAGACCATTATTAAATTTAAGATTTAGTTTAATCTAACCAGATATCGTCACAACTTTTATACGTTAAACGTTAATCCCATTATGTTTACTTTACACAACTGAAATAAGTCTAACCATTTTCATATTTTATACAATATCGTTTTAAAGTTTGAACTGTCGTTATGCTTGTTTTAAAGTAATAAAAAAAATTATTGCTAAAACGCAAATTTTGCTGTAACATGCTCTTATTTACACGTATATTTATATTTCAATTACTTAGCGAAACATAAAAATTAAGGTCGACTTTCGTTACAACGAACAATAAAATAAACATGCAACTGAAATTAATATCACGGTCGCTGGGTCTTTTGTTCCAAACAATAGTTCTTTACGTTAATAACGCAGAGTAATTTTCTACCACTGTTTAATTTTTTCCCCGAAAGGTTTTACTATAAAATAGTAGACCTACGCTTTTGTTTATAAAATTTTAATAATTATCTTATGTTTTACTCCTACAATACAAGTCTAATAAAAGAACAACAAGTCCACATTGATAAGCGGCTGCTGTAACCAAAATGTACAAATAATTTCAAACAAAGAAAGCAAATACTTTAAAATAATTTTTATTTTTAGATATAATTTTTTATTAAAACTCGTTGTCAATGCATGAAAAATACTCTAGACAAAATTGAGAGTATTTAGAAAAACAAATGAAAGCTTTAATGAGCTTATGGCTTTTATTACATAAATTCTGTAATATACTTATAACTTTAAGATTCCGCGAGTTCTTTTGAGAAAATATCTTGAACATATAAAACGATATGCAATTTAAAAATAAAATAAAAAAAACGTGTAAAGCTGAGCGAATGAGTAATGACGGCATAAATGAAAATATCAGTGCGAAATGGCGCAACAAATCTCTTACACGATCACTACAGTGGATGCAAAAGTAAACAAGTAGTACTGTAATAAGAAGTGAAGTTTAAATAATAGGAAAAAAATACTGACGTAAAGAAGCAACTATGTCTTTATGACGTATAAAAATTATCTAAATTTGTAAACGGTCATCAAGATTTGATTTTAATTGAACAAACGTGTAGATCGGGCGATACCGTCGACTGTATCAGATTAACGTGAAATACCGTCGATTAACCAAATAAAAAGGACGTACCAGTTCCGTTTTATAAAAAACATGTTTACCATCATTCAGTCATTAATTACAGCCTATCAAAAGTCCACTACTAAATATATGTAGATCTCCTCCATTAACTGCCTCATAGTGAAGACATTAGCCATATTTGCCCCGCTTAACAGCAGGTTGGTAACTGCAGTAGGTAATTTATTACTTTAGAGATTTTATCAGGAAGATGCTGCTGCCCATCTCTTATTTCCTTTCCCTCTGCTGCTTCTTACGAGTAGTAGTGAGGTATCATATGTGGTTTAAGAACTTTATTCTCATTAAGAATAAAAACATTCACTTATCATGAGAACATAAAAATTTATAAGTTATAAGAATATCTGGAGAAACGCAGAAGTCGGGGGTACATTACAAATACAGTTAAAAACAGTCACAGCGTCATAGAGATTTAACCACAGATATAAAGTTGAACTACGCTCAACAAGTTACAAGAAGCGGCGTGAGA